CAAAATTGTGAAAGTACCTCAACTCTCGCAGAAGATCCTGCCGTGATCCTCGTTGTATGCTTTGAGATAAAATACCCACGACAGTATAATATATTAAGTTCAAAAATAAGAAGTGTATTCTGAAATAAGGCATCCAGTGGGTGACCTTTGGGTAAAGCATGTGAGCGAGCATGTTAGCAGCGGTGAAAAAGTTCGCGATATTGCACGAAGTTTAGCATTGAAAAAAATCGTGATTCATAGTGAATTTTGGTGAATTTTCTAATACTGAATGTGAGTATTCATCAAGCTATAGATGCTCGATGCTCATCGTTGGGATCCATTTGCTTGATGTTGATGAAAGTGGTAGTGTGACCTTCCGAATTTATCATCAATGGCAGTTCCGCACCATTTTTTTTTACCTGAAAAGTAAACAAACAGCACCTTGAAATAGAATCTTCAATAAACATTTGACCACCGTTTACTTTTTGAGAAAAAATATTATAAAAGAAAAGATTTTGAATGTGTTTATCTACTTACAGTAATTTATTAACAATGGGAACAATGTTTATGGAGCAAATGTCTCAGGAGCTACAAATCACTTCCGCCCAACTCAACGCACTTCTCATGTTGACAAAGTTTTGAAAACACCCTATGCAAAATAGCGGGAATATTAGTGTTTTGCAAAATTGTCGAAGAGATTATATTCCTTAAAAAATATTTTTGTTAGAAAAATTCAAAAAACTTAAGTGTCAAAAGTAGCCCTAGCGGCGCCGATGGTGTAGTGGTAAGCGTGATTGCCTCTCACCCAAAAGGCCTGGGTTCAATCCCAGTCGACGCCACCGGGATGTTCTGAGGCATAACATCTCTGATCATGCCTTCCTTTGGAAGGGAAGTATAGCCGTTGGTCCCCGGTTCATGTGTTGATGGGTCGATAGCTAGGGCCAGGTGTGGGAGCTGCCTTCCTGGCGTCGGTAGCATTGGCGCTAAGCACGGAAAACAAGATTGACGGAAAACAAATCAAAGAAGTCAATGTTTCCAATGATTATAAGTCAATGTTTCCAATGAAAAATCACGATGAAAGTCCAAATTCACATTTTTTTTTTGTAAAAACTATGCAAAACAGTCTTGCATTTGACCTTTTGATTAATAAATTTTGGATCAATAAATATTAAGAAAAATGCTGAGTTTTTGGACCACCCTAATGGAAAACTAAAAAATACGGGTCAAATATTTTGCGATAAGGAGCAAAATTACAAATTTTTAGAAATTCCGAGAATTACTATATCGTTTTGCTATGGAATGAATGAATATATGATTGAATTCCTGGGGCCTCCCTTAGCATGCTGAGTTCGATTCCCGGTTCGGTCTAGGCTTTTTTTGAGCTGGTAAATTTATCGACTGCCCTGCGCGTAGAGTATGATTGTACTTGCCACATACTTATGATAATGTAAATATGGTACAGGCATCGAAAACTCTGAATTGATTACTGTGGAAGTGCATCTAGAACACAAAGTTGAGAACACGCAATTAGCTGATATGCGATGTTTGAAATGCAAAGAAAAGGAAGAGGACGTTTGAATTCTTCATCAACCAGCTGCTCTAATTTCAGAAATATTGATGCACATATAGAAAAGTTACACCTCTTTGAATTTTCATGGACACTCAAAAAATTCACATAGTATTATTTTTTTACCAGCACTATAGTCTACTGAATCACATTAAGGGGATTAATTTTTTTATATGTTTAAATACTTCTGTCAGTATGTCCCCTCCGAAATAATGAAATTAAACCTTAACTATACTTGCGATGATTTTTTTGTCTAGCAAAGGGCGAATCATGAGAATATATTGTATGTACTACCATAGAATCTAGTCCAACATAAACAGTCCGCTACATGATGGATCTTGTCCCGTTAAACAACTTTGCCAAGGCAGGAACCTTAAGTTGAAGTAAGGGCATCAGATAAATCAAAACGGTCTTGCCATATCAACAACGTTACTGATGACATGAACCTTCAATTTAGTCACGATCCTACGTTATCATTATAAGAACTATATTTGAACTATTGTGCCACCTAGTGAGCCACAAGATGAACTTTATATGTACTATGTCGCTGCCTTGTGAGTCAAGTTCAAACTAAACTGTTCGGGTTTCGTCCATTTTAACAACATTGCTGTATACAGGAAACTTCTATCTGATCCCGATACTGAGTTATTAATGGAAGAACTTAAGTTTTACTCAGGCGCAACCTAGCGAATCAATTTTCAACTAAAACATGCATTACTGAACGGGTATCAGTCATTTGAACAACGTTGCTTAAGAAAGGAAACATATTTCTGGTCTCGATCCCTAGTTATCACATAAAGAACTTTATTTGTACTTTTGCGCTGCCTAGTGAGTAAATTCCCAATTCCCCTGGGGGATTGTCCATTTGAACAAGTTTTCTTAGTGAAGGAAACTTCTATCTGGTATAGCTCAAGAACTATAACGAAATACGTTCGCCACGTACTCTGTAACAATTGATTTAGTTTAAGCATGATTCCTCAAAAATAACGCTAGATTCTCCAAAATTTCCATAAAATTTTTGATAGCCTTCGCAGTGAATGCAATAAGATTGATGCTCTAAGGAAAACATATAACATAATCTAACCTATAATTTGAATTTTTCCAAACGAATGCTTTGAGTCCTTCCATAGCATTGCTTTTGACATCGCCATCAACATCAAAGTAAACGGCTATATCCCATTAAGCATAAATATGAAGAATGTTAGACATGCGTACGTTAGGCATAATGAATATTCGTCATAAACACATCAAGTACATTGAACTTCACGCATACAAGCTCGTGTTTCTTAAATATACTTTCTACAACTCTGAACTTGTTTCGAGATACTCAGTTTGCATTGAGTTTATCATAACCTTGACAAGGTCTACCATCAAGAGCTTGGAGATGGTTGAACATAAGTAGGGACAATCCAACAAGGCTGATTTCCACTAAGCTAAAGGCTATTATTTAAGCTGTATTTCGAAATTTGAATGAATACAGAGAAAATTCTGACCAAATCACGAAAAGAACGAATTTAAAACATGTCCCTCTTGCTTTCGCTATTGGCGATTATTACAATTTGGGTGAAAATTAGCCAGTTTTTAAATGGTTTGTTGAATATAACACAACTCGACAAACTTTTCGAACCACATCCAATTTTAATTATTTCCGTTAATTCTTTGAATGAATTATATGAAAGTAACATGTCATTCTTTTAAATAGAGCATGCCCTAAATTAAATTTGTTTAAATCACTCTGTTAGCGTTAGCGTTATTTCATTTGCAGGCTGGCCAAATTTATATGATACATATTGAGACCTAAGCCGATGGTCAGTACCAGATATTGCAGTTGAAGATGAATGACTGATAGTTGTTCGTTGCATGAATAGCAAAATATGGCAAACGTTCTGATGAAGGTCACAAGTTCACGTGTGCACTGCAATTAGTAGCAAAAATAGCCGCACAACGAATCGGGAATTGACGCAGTCATAATATTGTTTTTCCTAAACGTATTCTCTGTATCCAGCTAGCTCTTGTACCATTCAATTACTGAGCAAATCAGTATAAACCGTTTTTTTCGTCTAATATGTAACGTTTGATTCAACCATTTCTAACACATTGGTGCACAACAGCTGCACTGTACTAACTCCAATAGTGAAGCTCAAGGTAATGCATAATAATGAGTATACCGGGACAAATAAAAAGCCGTAGCGTTGCATTGCGTATCTAACATCTGATCCAGCTAAACAAACAGTGCTGTGGGATGGACGTCCCGTGTGGAGCCATGTAATTATATGTTAAACGTGCAAATGATTGATCAATTTGACACATGGGCAATTGAGAAGTTTACTGACGGGCGTACATTTTTTTTTGTTGGTTGACACCAAGTATTTAAAATATGAAAATTGTTTTAAATATCTATAAAAAAAATATTTAAGGGAATGAGGAGGACCCGTTGCATGACATTACCCTAGTTTCCCTATGAAACAATAGCTGGTAGTTAACCTAGGTCTTGACTGCTTCGAAATAGTACGCACCGATCTGTACCGTAACACACCTTGCTCTAACACTAAATGACTCCGCACGTAACAATGTTATCAACCGACTCACATCTTCGTTTGCACCGCTGCCCTCCGTCTCTGCCGACATACTGATCATCGTCATCATGTGCTCTCCGTTATTGTTTTGGGATGGGTGAGGAAATCCCTCTCCCGGTAGCACATTGTTGCTAAAGTGCAGCGAGTGATCCCTCCCAGTGCATAACATAACGACCGACCTGATGTGACGACGACGACGACGGCGGTTGATGATCCAAACGAGGTTCCAAACGGATGGTCTTACGACGATGTGCTTTGAATAAATTCATCATCTTCGGTCGTTGGTGATTTTTTTTATTATTTGAAGAATTGTCTGTCTCTTTCCCAACTGTGCTAAGTGGAATATAAATACAATAGCGTGAATGGGTTGCTGCTTCTTCCCCCTGTTCCGAGGAGGAATCGCTAGCTGAAAGATATTGTTGTATGAATAGAAGTGATTTTTTGTTCGGTTGGCTGACGGGCTTAGAATTCCTATCTGGAGATTGACTGAAGCCGCATAGACTGGAAGCTACCTCCGACTGCCATGCACACCAGCCGGCATCCTCATCGTGGTGTAGTAGTAACAATAAATGCATATTAATTATCAGGTAGCTGTTTGCTCGTACGGTGATTGCCTTTTTCGTGTTCTATTCATTACATTTGACGTTCAGCTTTTTGTCACTGCCGTATAACAATGGGTGGAGAGAGTTGGTGGTAGGCAGTAACAGTTTCAGCTGATGTCATTCTAAATATATCTTTCAATCACCATCATTATCATCATTCGTTTCCCGCTTGCACCTTGTGTCTTATGGTGCATTATGCAATGCAAATGAGTTTTTAGTAGTATAAACTATGGTGGCGTCTCTAATTCTTGTTTTATTTCTGTTTTGTCTTTTCAGATGCATACATTTTACATAAATCGTAGGAAAAATTCATCAATATTGGGTAAGTAAAGCTTCGAACTTCTTGTTTGCCGGGCAAGCAACATGTTAGAAAATTCAATCAACTCTAAACAAAATTGACGACAGCAAGTAATCAATATGATAATGAAACGAAATTCATACCGAAACGACATATTTCATTTTCCTGTTTTTTTTTTGCCGGAAAAAAACAGGACACCTATTAAGTGTCGCAGTTTTGCAAAACATGCATCAGGGCGTCAAAATTTATCTTAGATACCATAGGCGAATGTCGTTTTTTTTTTACAAATTTGTGCCTCAAGGTCAGTGGTGGAAAATGTACATTTTCTTGCAAAACCATCGTCCTCGACGAAGCAAAACAACACACGTGTATATTAACATTTTAAGCCAACGCACATTGGGCAAACATTTACAAAACCGCGACTAAATTGAATGTCTCGGCTGCAAAACGGTTTCAGTCAACATGTTATACATATTCTCAAAGGAAAAATTCTGCTGAATCGATTGGTGGAGACTTTTGCGTACTGAGATAGAGGACCGGGATCAACCCGAGTTGCCGGTAAAGTAGGAAATGCCACTATCTATCGACATAAAGGGTGATACGGTCAAAATTTGGTCAAGGGAAAACGCGTGTAAATCGGTGAAATCGTTTATTTAAAAAATCAAATTAAATTTCTTTTTCAAGTTCAATTAGTATAAAATTCAGGAAAAATATTCAGTTAGGCTTCCGCTTTTCCAAATCCGAATTGCCGGGCCTTACGCTTGACCCCTGCCATCAGATTTTGTACAGCCACCTTGTCCACCTTCTTCGCCGCAGAAAGCCAGTTTGCCTTGAACTGCTGCTCGCCCTTAGCAGTTTTTTGGTCTTCTTTAGGTTCCGCTTGACAATAGCCCAGTATTTCTCAATTGGGCGGAGCTCTGGCGTGTTGGGAGAGTTCTTGTCCTTGGGAACCACCTGCACGTTGTTGGCGGCGTACCACTCCATGGCCTTTTTACCGTAATGGCAAGATGCCAAATCCGGCCAAAACAGTACGGAACAACCGTGTTTCTTCAGGAAAGGCAGCAGACGTTTATTCAAACACTCTTTCACGTAAATTTCTTGGTTGACAGTCCCGGAAGCTATGAAAATGCTGCTTTTCAAGCCACAGGTACAGATGGCTTGCCAAACCAGATATTTCTTTGCGAACTTTGACAGTTTCATGTGCTTGAAAACATCTGCTACCTTTCCCCTTCCTTTTGCCGTATAAAACTCCTGACCCGGAAGCTGCTTGTAGTCGGCTTTGACGTAGGTTTCGTCGTCCATTACCACGCAGTCAAACTTCGTCAGCATCGTCGTGTACAGCCTCCGGGATCGCGCTTTGGCGGTCGTATTTTGTTTATCATCGCGATTTGGAGTCACTACCTTCTTGTAAGTCGATAGTCCGGCTCGTTTTTTGGCTCGATGCACGGTTGTAGACGATACACCCAGCTTATTTGCGGCATCTCGGAGAGAGAGGTTAGGGTTTCGCTTGAAACTACCGGCAACTCTCTTTGTCGCCTCAGCGGCTTCCGGTTTTCGATTTCCCCCCGATCCAGACTTCCTGGCTGTCGACAAACGTTCCCCAAACACTTTAATTACATTTGTAACGGTTGATTTGGCAACTTTTAGCGATTTTGTCAACTTTGCGTGCGAGTAGCTCGGATTTTCGCGATGCGCGAGCAAAATTTTGATACGCTGCTCTTCTTGCTTGGACGTCATTTTGACAACTCAAGAGTGAATTCCAAAATCAAAATAGGAGCAACATTCTAAACACACACACCTTCAAAATGAGGGGTGTTCAGGTTTTTTAAATGCAAAATTGAAAGAAATACGTCAAGTTGATATTGACCAAATTTTGACCGTATCACCCTTTAATTTTACAGTTTACTTAACGTATATAACTGGAAATTGATAGTACTAAGTATATATGGTGTAATGACACCATATACGCTCTCAGGGAAACTTTACTGGCCTAAAGAAGGATCTGGAACGACATGTAAAGTGGCCACATTATAAAAATTGTCCTTAAGTCATGAATCATCCGAGTTGAAATCATGAGCTAAATTCATGTGTTTAACTTTTAACCAAAAAATAAAATAAAGCCTCAGACAGGATTCAAACCAAGAACCTTGAGATCATTAAACCCATACTTTGACTACTAGACTGTCAGTAATTATATAATATGGAAGACAAAAGGCGTATAAGAGATACATATGTAGTTTGGCTTATGAACACGGTTTGCCTAGTACGTGTAACGCTTGTGGCGGTCTTGATTCCACTGCATTATGAAATCATGAATTTCCATGACGAAATCATGAATTATTGTTACGATTTCATGGGATGGCAAGTTTTTTCATTTCATGATTTTTTATTCATGAAAATGGAATCGGATTTGTTTCCGTGTGGAATAAATATTTTGGAATATAGTGGCCATATCCTGGTTCCCCGGATAATCTGGATTGACCGATAAAGTGGCCACACTATAAAAATGATCCTAGAATATTGCGATTTTTTCTATGTTTGTTCATAATCATGAAATCAAAGCGAATTTAATAAAGAATTGAAATTTTGGGGTAAAGTGGCCATATCCTCCGAAAAATCTGGATTGACGTAAAAGTTGTCCAAGCATGTAAACAGTCCTGCAAAACCACGATCTTTCTTATTCAAATAATTCAAACTTTTTTTTATTAAAAAAAATCCCTAGTATGTATCCCACTTTAGGGCAGGTGCTTTAAAAAAATTGGTACTTTAAATCGAAAAATTGAACACATTTGAAGTTCTGTGAAGAAGGCTTCAGCTAAATTGTTCATAAGAAAACAAAGGTATATCTGCTATTATATCGATCGGCACTGTAAACTCTTTTAGAAACCCGCAGTTTGTTTGTGTGTGTGTCATACTCTGAACAACACTGCTAATGGTCGTGTTGTTCAGAGATTCACCATAGAATTAGTATGTTATTTAAGACTGGTCCGACCCTTGTTTTCATAATAAAGGATTAATGAAATTTCTTCTTTCTTTCCTTTATTTAACGTCGGTCTCTGTTCCGCAATCTAGTGCCAATCACCGACGGACATCGATTGCCATCTATTGACGGAAATCGAATGTGCAGGAAGGCAGCTTCCACACCTGCGTAGGATATCGCACCCATTCAACACACATGGGTCGGGACCAACGGCTTTACTTCCCTTCCGAAGGAAGACTGTGATTAATGAAGTTTCATGCAACATGTTCCAATCGATCAGGAAAACATATTATTCTTTAACACGTGAAAGTTTGATAGATGTTTTTGTTTCACTTTATTTATAAATATAAATACTTCAATGATGAAATCTAATTTGAACCAGGAAATGTAATAGCAGAGATGTTCAGTTTCCAATTTCTTCTAAGACATGATAAAATAAACAAAAATGCTGATATATAAATAGATCACTGGGCATTAATGGGTTAAACAGATGACATGGAAGCTCATCACCTTCTCGTAGCTCTCTTCGAGATTTGAAAGACATCGAGAGTGTCTCTGATACTGGGACAATGCACACATCACATCAGTTTAACGATGAATTTAGAACATTTCATTAAGCAGTCAAGATTTCAGACATCCAGTTACAGCACTATGCACTTTTTTGGAGAGAAAATGGGACAAAATCACGTTGTTATATACTTCTTTATGGTATTTTTCTACAGCTACCGTAGAATTCCACTAGTTTGAAAAGTTAAAATTGCAATTAAACAGCGCTCATTTTATAATTTGATTAATCGGTACCCCTACACAGGTGCCGAATGGTTTCGTAAGTTTCGCTAGTCAAACGGCACACAAAATATAAAAAATAAATTTTAATATTAAATCCAAGAGAATGCACTTCAATCATGTCGAAAATCTCATTTAATTTTTATGGCCACAAAAATAAACAAATGCAGTAAAAGCAGCGTAATGTCAGTTCATGTACTGTATTAATGATAATTTTGTCCTTTTTGGCAAGAAATATTACACCATTTTTTGATACGATTGAAGTGCATCCACTTTGATGTGATATCAAAATTAATATTTGCTGTGTATACACAATTCGTTGCTCCAATTTAAATGAATCAGATAAAAAAAATACGCATGGGAATTTGATTTCTTACATAATCCTTCCTAAAATAACTCAATGACCGTAAAGCACGAACCCCAGCACTAAAGCGACCCTTCAATGAATGTGCACCATTCTCCTCCTAAACAATCGATTGTCCAAAACTTGTAGAAATCCACAACCTCACGACTCACCACCCCGACACAAATAGCATAAACAAACTATTTATACAGACAGCAACATTTCGAAAGTGTGTTCGAAATCCAGCGCATGTCACGACTCCTTTTTCGCAACAGCCACCTCTCAACCCCCAACTTCCCACAACCTCCTCATACGTTGATCTTTAAACCCCATTCGTCTGGGGACTGGGATCTCTGTCAGCTGCCACTGCCTCGGTGGTAGTTGGATAGTAGTGCAATAAAAATCAGGTTTCGTTCCTCCTTTCACAAGTCCCCTTGAAAATTCATGGATCCAAATTGACTGCCCTGCAACCGCGGCAGTAAGACCCGTTTCGGTGAACTTTTTTGAAGGTAAACCATTTTACTTTCGTTTGGGATAACGTCACAGCCTCCACAGTTTCCGCCACCTTTGCTACCGAGTTCGACGATTACTTTCAACTGCAGTTATTCAACCGGCTGCATTACCAAGCAGTCACAGGCACAATAAAAAAAGGGCCTCAAGGAGACCGGATTCGTTACACGATTTCTGGAAACTGTTGTAAAAAAAAAACGAGTTTCGTCAGAGCATGAGGTATTGGCTTCTCGTACTGCACCGACCGGTGGAAAGCTTTGAACCGCGCCCAACTTGGCCACATATCGAGTCAAATGCATGATGCAGATTTCGGTTGCGCCATCATCCTTCTGAGCCGGCTCGATGGTCGTTACCATTATTGCTGGGTGTAACGAGTGCAAATTTTATTCATAGCGATTTTATCAT